CTACTACTTGCCTGGGATGATTTTCAGGGATAGCGCACTCAAGTCGTCTTGACATGTAATTTTTAAAATCTACTAATAATTTAACAATATCCACTTGTCCCTCGGTAGCTGCAGGTGACTGACTGTTCCAGGATCCTGTTAGATACTGGAATCTGCAGGAAGTCAGTTCCCTCCTACAAACGGAAAGTGTGTGCACACAGCTCATGCGTATCCTGTGTACACAGATCCTCTGTAGATCACTAACAAAACTGAATACAACCACTACTTAAACAGTTACTACCTTGTGTGGAGAACAGATATAAAACAAGTTTACATGAAGTCAGTACAGATAAAATTGTTTAAAAGTGGTCTGCGGTTAAATAAATCCATACATGGAATCCAAGAATACCAAAGACCAACTGAAACAGAGACACTGAGATATTCAGACAGGTAAGTAAAGCCGCACAGTGCATGGATACACGTTTACTTAAATCTGCTGCCATGACTAGATTCAATACCAACATAAGCCTCCAACAGCAGGCTGCACCGCCAACCAGCCCAGCTGCATCTTAAGAGTTACTTGGAAACCTTTAAATAAACCTATTCATACTAATGAATAGACCTAGACTTCTGCTCTAAATGATATCAATGCTGAAGACTTCTGGTTAGATAAACCCTAGATTCATCTGTTGAATTTAGGAGCAAACTACTATTTATACGACAAATCAGTATTTAGAGGTCTAAACTAGCATGGCCATAGACAAGGGACTGGAGAGGACACGCCAGCCTCCATTAGAAACCTTACTCACAGCTGCATGCTCTAAATTATCCTAAGTTTGCAGAACATGTTTGTTCTTCCATGCTTTACAGATGACTTAGCCAACTTTCAAATGAAAGATCAGGTCTTAGCATTTCTATTGCTTCAATTAAACACCAGGACCAAAAAGCAAATTGGGGAGGAAAGGGTTTATTCAGCTTACACTTCCTAATCAGAGCGCATCACTGGAGGAAGTCAGAGCAGGGACTCAAGTAGGGCTGGAACCTGGGGAAAGAAGCTGATGCAGAGGTCACCGAAGTGTGCTGCTTACTGGCTTACTTCACATTCCCTGCTCTGCCTGCTTTCTACAGAACCCAAGACTACCATCCCAAGGATGACAGCACCCACAAAGAGCTGGTCCTTCTCCACACTCATCACTGGCTGAGAAGAAAATGCCTTACAGCTGGATCTCATGGAGCCATTTCCTCAACTGAGGCTCCTTCCTCTCTGGTGACTGTAGCGTTCGTCAAATTGACACAAACCGAGCCGGCACAGAGCCCACCATACTCTATCCCATTCTTCACTGGCAAAATCCTTCTGTGAGCCTGTGCTGCGCGGACTGCTTTTCACGTCAGCTTGCCACAAACTAGAGTCATCCAAGACGACAGAGCCTCACTTGAGAAACCGTCTCCCTAAGTCAAGGTTGTCTGACGTGGGGGCATCCCGCCCACTGTGAGCAAGAGCCACCTCTGCACTGGTGGGCCTGGCATCCATAAGGCTAAGAAAGCCCGAGGAGCAGGCCAGCAAGAAACACACCTCCATGGCCTCTGCAACCGCCCTGCCGGAGTTTCCCTCAATGGACTGTGATTCAGGATATGTAAGCCAATCCTTTCCTTTCCACCTAGCTCTAGTCTTGGTGTTTCATCACAGCTAAGACAAAGCCCTAGGGACAAACAGCTGACTACAGTCACTTGCTATCCATCCAGCTCTCTGAATGTGAATCTTTCAGTCTGCTTTTACTTCTCTCTTTTTGGGGTTGTTTCTAATCTCTCCTTTAAAACAAAACCTCCACCAAGTACTGGTGTACAACATAAAAGTAAAATATTTCTGCAAACAAAATTCAGGTTTAAAAAAGTGGTTTGTGCAACGCTTTTTGTTTTCTTCCTTTGAGTCAGGGTCAAAGGAAGAAAACAAAAAGCATTATAATACTACTATAAAAACAGAGACATGAAACAATGGAAAAGCACAGGAGACCAGCTATAAACCCATACAGCCACGGGATATTTTTTTTTCCCCAAAATCAGAAAACTACACATTTCATCAATGAGCTTCTTCAACAAATATTCCTGACAAAACTGGCTGTCTACACATGGAAGAAAAAAACTAGTCCCATGTCTCAACACATACAAAATCCAACACTAAACAGACCAAAGATTTTAACTCAAGACCTAAGAGTCTAAAACTATTAAAGACAGAGGAAAAAAAAAAAAAAAAAAAAAAAAAAGCTCAGGATACCAGTAAAGGGAAATACTTCTAAATACAACTCCAGTCTCTCAACAACTGATAAATGGGTTTTCATGAAGGTCATGAAGGAAAAAAAAACAAAACTGGGGCTGGAGAGATGGTTACGATCGGTGGTTAAGATCAACATCTGCTCTTTCAAGGGTCCCGGGTTCAATTCCCAGCACCCATGTGTGTGGGTGCTATCCATGTGTGCTATCCATCTGACACAGGGTTAAAATCTAGAATACTCAACTCAAAAATCTGATCACCGGCGAGGAAAAAACTAAACCACCTAATCAAAACTAGTCTAATTAATTAAACAGACAATTCTCAAAAGATGAGGTACAAACTGGCAATAAATCTATGAACCAAGTATGTTAGTGCACACCTGTAATCCCAACATTTGGAGCAGAAGGCAGCATAGCTCTGTGCCTTCGAGGCCAGCCGTGGAACACACATTGAGTTCCACAAAGAGAAAGTCTGTCTCAAAAATAAACAAGTAAAAAATAATAAAATAATAATACAAATTCAAAAAAGGAACATTTAACATCACTCGCCATTAAAGAAACACAAATTTAAAACTACAATGACATTTTTTAACCTCACCTTGGTAAGAACGGCATTTATTTAAAAAAAAAAAAAAAACAAATGCTGGTGAGAGAGCACACAAGAGAAAGCAGACAAGGGACCCGCTTATACACTGATGGCGAGAATGCACACTAATCCAGACTGTGTCAGTCAATAAGAAGATCACTAAAAATACAGCTACTTTGTGACTCAGCTACACCACTCTGGGTATTTGTCCAAAACTTAAAACACACACATACACACACACACAGAGAGAGAGAGAGAGAGAGAGAGAGAAATACTTGCACATCAATGTTTACTGCACCTCTGCCCACCAACTGAGGAATGAAAAAAGAAAATGTGATTTATATTGCAATAGAATTCATTTCTGCCATAAGATGAAATCATGCCATTCAAAGTAAAATGAGTACATTTGAAGACAATCATTACACAAGGCAGTCTCGAAAGGCAAATAGTGTGTGATTTCTCTCACTTATGGGTCCCAGACGTAACAGATACATAAAGTGCTGTATGTGAAGTGGTATGAAGAGACAAGTGTTTGGGAACAAAAGAGAGTAATGGAAAAGGGGAGGTATGAAAAATGGGAGGACAGTGAGGGATGGAGCGCAGAATCTCAAAGTACATCACACACTTGCATGAAAACCGCCTAATGTAAAGCTGTGTAATAAAATTACTATTAAAGTACTCCACGTGTTTCCCTTGTCAGCACTGACCTTACTGGTTGTGGCCTTCTATAACGAATTCGTCCATTTCCTCACTCCCTTTTAAAATACAGTTTTCCATGGTATGTGGAAGGAGTTCTTACTTTAACACTCTTCTACATGTTTCTAAATGTGTAAATGTGTGTCTCCAGTTTGGAGTCTAGAGAAGACCAAACTTATGGACACATAAAGTAACAGAGGGGATGGAGAGATGGCTCAGTAATTAAGAGTTTCTTACTCTTCCAGAGAATCCGAGGTAGGTTCCCAGCACCCACAGCTCACAACCACCTGTAACTCCGGATCACCAGGATGTACTACCTTCCCCTGACTTCAACTGCCACACACAGGTAACGCAGACATGTACATACACACAAATAAAAGCAAACCTTAATAACACTAGAAAAATTACAGTATTCACTATAAACTGTGTGAGTACCCTTACGATACTCATTTAATAAAGCTGCGGTCCTAAAACAATGGCATTGTTTAGACTAGAAACAATGACAAAACTCTTCAGCGTTTAAATGGAGCTTTTCACATTACAAGGAATGCGCCACCCCAAAGGCAACAAGAGTATGTCAACACCAGTCGTCGTCAGTCCATGCTCAGAAGAAATACTGCAGGCGAACTTCATTCACTAGATTACATGTGTGAGGATTTTCAACAATACAACGAAAACAAGGCCTAAAGATATATTGCCAACTTCTAATTTATTGAGCTGGAAATCACATAAACTTTATTTTATGCCCAATGTACAATCTACTTATAGAGTTTGATTACCAAACAGTACCGAGAAAGATACTGCAGAATCGGCAAGATGAAACATTACTGGGTACAATGACGACTCCTTTAACTTTTTTCACCCAGATGGATCTACAATTTATAGGACTGTAATTCTAGCCCAAGCAAAACCAGATCATTGAACCTACCTGGTGCTATTTATTTTAAAAAGCATGCCGAGGTGAACCTCTTACGTCAGCCCTGCGAGCATCCCCATAAAGTGTGTGCAGGAGCCTCTGTTACACGCCTCACGCTTACGTGCATGTGCACACTCGGTCACAAGCACACTCCTTTGGGCCTAATTGAGTTTCTAATGGGAACAGGGGTGGAGTCGAGCTGTCTGGGGGAACGCAGGCCATCTCCAGGTAAAGACCTCCAGGTAGAGAACCCACCTTAGCGACAATCCCCTTCCTTCGGGAAAGGGCAGACACCACCGCCACCCCAAACATAACGACTCCGGCAACATCCCAAAAGCACCCCCCAGGACCTCCCCTGTCACCTCGGGGAGGCACAAGCACACGCCTGCAGACGCACCCCAGCACACGCGTGCCACACGCCCCGTACCGGACCTCCCGGGCCCGGGCCAGCGAAGTTTCCACGGCTCCTGCAGGCCTGGCCGGGGCAGCGGAGCTGCAAGGCCCCCAGGCGCGCGGCGAGGGGACGGGAGGGGAGGGGAGAGCGGCGCCGCTCACCATCGATGTTTTCCCGGTCGCTGATGTGCTGCAGATTGCAGCCCGTGTCCTCGCGGCTGAGGTCCGTGTCGGGCCGGTAGGACTCCAGCCGCGAGTGCGCATTCCTGCGGAGCTTGGGGCTAGACGACACGCAGCACGAGGTCGTGTTCCCCATCGTCGAGCGCCGGGCTGCTCGCCCCGGGGCGCGGGCGCAGGCTCGGGCGCAAAGGCAGGCCGCCCGCGCCCCGTGGAGGGCGGAAGGCGCGCCGGCCCCGGGTCAGCAGCGGCGGCGGCGGCGGGGCCTCGCCATGGACGGCGGCGACGAGCGAGCGGCTACGGCGGCCAGCGGCCCCCGGTTCGCGGCGCAGGAGCCCGAGTCCGCGACTGCAGCCCCACGCAGAGCTCACCCCGCCGCGGCCATGGCGGGCGGCGCCGCGCAGGCCGCCTCCCACCGCGCTCCTGGCCGGCGCCGGGCCCGCAGCGCCGACTTCCGCAAGCGGTTCCGGTTCACGCCGGGGACACGCGAGCGAGCGGGCGCGCGCGGAACACGGCGAGAGGACGGCAGGAGGGAGAGCGCCCCCGGCGTGGCGCGGCGAGGCGCGGCGCGGCGCGCGGAGGAGGAGCGCGCAGCCCCGCCCCCCCGAGGCCCCGCCCCACG